GATGATGCAGTGTCTGAAGCTGGGCGCCTTGTCTCGGACCACCGCCAGCACCCAGATGAACGCGCAGAGCTCTCGATCCCACGCCATCTTCACCATCCACCTCAGCCAAGTCCGGCTCTGCTGCCCGGAAAACGTAGGAGCCAGAGGGGGGGGGGGGCTGGGGAATATGTGCCCTTTGAGGCTATGTTGGAGTTTAATTTTAGGCTAAATTAAAAAATATATGTATATACAGTGGGGGAAATAAGTATTTGACCCTTTGCTGATTTTTTTGATTTTTAACTTCTTTCTTTGTAATCTTTAGAAGCTATGACACAGACCTACCTTTTTATTCTAAATATTAGGACTAAATAACTATTAAATAAGGGAGAATGAAAACAGGAAGGTTTAATCTTCTGTTAAAAGCTGTGAGCACCTTCATTTAATGCCACTCTTTGCATATTAATGACATCTATCTATCTATCTATCTATCTATCTATCTATCTATCTATCTATCATCGATCCATCTACAGTGGGGGAAATAAGTATTTGAGCCCTTGCTGATTTTGCAGGTTTGCCCACTTACAAAGAATGCTTATTTTTCCTCATCAGATGGTTCAGATCAATTTTTATAAATTCATATGATGTGATTTTCTGGAATTTTCTTTGGGATTCTGTCTTTCACTGTTAGAATGTACATATGATTAAAGTTATAGATCGTTGCATTCTTAAAAAAAATATTAGAAAAAAAATTATTAAAAAAATATTTTAAAAAATTAGAAAAAATATATACTCCAATAAAGTACAGATACTGCATTTTGGTACTCTAGTACAGTAATTAAGTAGTTTTACTTTGTTACTGAACATCTCTGGTTGCTATGGTGATTCCCTCCTTTATCAGGGGGCTGCCATGACACAATGTTAGTCCCACTGGTTGCTACGGTGATTCCCTCCTTTTTCAGGGGGCTTTTCAGGACACTATGTTAGTCCCAGTGGTTGCTACGGTGATTCCCTCCTTTTTCAGGGGACTGCCATGGCACAATGTTAGTCCCACTGGTTGCTACGTTATGTTTACATATCAGTAACGAGTAACGATTCAGCCCATGAAAGTAAAAGTAAAAGTAGGAAATTAATCAAAAATATTTAGTGGAGTATAAGTAAAAGTAGGGAAAAAATATATATACTCCAATTAAGTACAGATACTGCATTTTGGTACTTAAGTACAGAACTTCCAAGTAGCTCTACTTCGTTACTGAACATATCTGGTTGCTACGGTGATTCCCTCCGTTTTCAGGGGGCTTTTCAGGACTCCCTTTTTAAAGATAGTATTTTTCAGTTTTATCATTTCTGTCCTATATTTTTATTTCTACATTTTATTTCTTGCTTCTCATAGAAGTGTTGTGTTGTGCACCAAACACCAAAAAGGCAAATTCCTTGTAAGTCTAAAAACCTACTTGGCAATAAACCTTATCCTTATCCTGATTCTGATTCTGATTCTCCACACAGGACGGCGGCTCAGAAAACCGCCCGCCTGTCGACGAGTTTGAAACGCTGACGGCCAAATTCCACTTCGTGGATCTGGCCGGTTCCGAGAGGCTGAAGCGGACCGGGGCCACCGGGGAACGGGCCAAGGAGGGAATCTCCATCAACTGTGGGCTGGTGAGGGGGAAGAAAGGCCTCGGTCAGAACAAAACAAGGGAGAAAAGATAGAAAAAGGCTAAAGGCATTCCTTGGATACGATACTCATTTTCAAAAGTATCGACACCACCGCGCGAGCCTTCTCTCTGATTTATTTATGTATTTATTTACGTTGTTTATGATCATTAACGTTACGTTAGCCTTGAACTGCTAGCTGCGGCTAATGGCTAATAATAACGTGCTACCATTAATCAAGTACATATCCGTCTCAGCCCACATCCAAATCGGCCATTTTGATTACGTCACCAAAAGGAAAATCCCAGGCAAGAAAATAGTAATGCCTCATGGCAATATAGACATTAATTTAAAAATAGTGAAATGAATCTTTAAAACACTGAATTAAACTCTATCCATAATATTATGTTAAAATAGTGGATGTTAAATAGGTTTGTACAATAAGTCCAAACAAGTTTAACCAAAAATATTTATTTCTCACAATTATGAAGGGTGGAGGGTTAGGGTTAGGGTTAGGGTCAGGGTTAGGGTTAGGGTCAGGGTTAGGGTTAGTTAGGGTTAGGATTAGGGTCAGGATTAGGGTAATTAATTCGGGCCACCAGCCACCATAACATCAGTAACAGGTCAGTTTCAAATTAAAGACACTAACCTGTCAGAATTCAGTTACATTTTGGAGTCTTTGTTTTTATCCTTGTGGTATTGAAAATGGTATCGAGGATCGAGTATTTTCCTGAGTATCGGTATCCAGTTGAAAATTTTAGTATCGTGACAACCCTAACTTACACACACACAAGTACAGACTTCATGCATTCCTTGGACTCACTGCCTCGCGGTTACCTTTCCCCTTCCTTCCCTCCCTATGTGTCCTTGATGTTGTGATTTGACTGTATCTGTGCTTTAGTGTACGAGGTGTTTTTCAACCTTTTTTGAGCCACGGCACATTTTTTCATAGAAAAAATCCCAAGGCACACCACCAACCAAAAATGTTAAACTAATCTGTAGCCTCCTATAGTTATTCTTATCTAATAAACATATCATATTTTATATTTCTTCTTTCAAATTGTACTTAACGTGTCCACTTCAATATACAAAATTAAATACAAAATCTAGTCATAAGGAATTATTACATGATTACTCCACCAGTCACTAGAACAGCACACACACTCAGAAATGGAATATTATTTGCAGATAATTAATTCCTTATCAAACAATCTTTTTAGACCAATGAGGAGAAATAGGATGATTTTCTACACCTGACCATCACTAACGGCACACTAGTGTACCGAGGACCAGTCTATGTGTTTTGTTTGTTTGATCTTGGTACGGGCTGTACTGGAAGTCAATTTCTCCCTGGAGATCAATAAAGTATATTCAATGCAATTCAATTAAATTCAAAACAAAACAATGGAGAAAAGATAGAAGTGGCTAAAGGGAGACACCTGCTGGCCACATTAGGCACTACAGCTCACACACAGCCTGTTTATTGCAGAGGTCTTCAACAGCAGGTCCGCGGCCCCTAGGGGGTCCAAAGGTACTGATGGGGGTCCCAAAGTTTTGGTTGACTTTTTTAGAATTTTTCCACTAATGTAAATGTCTTTAAATCCACATGAACATGAGTTCAACAGACTGTAG